TTGAATCAATCAATTCCAACATTGCAAGATCTTTTTTTTTCCCGTGAGAAGTTGAAATTGACTTTGTGAACCTTTTTTTTTTTTGCACACGGCAGCGGAGGCCTAAAGCGAAAAGCTTTTATAAAACCCAGCTGAAGGCTAGGACTAGAGCAACAGCGCGCGTGCCCACAGAGAGGGCTCTTAGTGCCGCCTCTGGTACCCGTGCCATAGGTTCACCACCACTGTTATATCTTATCATCAGAATAGAATAGAATAGAATAGAATAGAATAGAATAGAATAGAATAAGAGAAGAGAAGAGAAAGAAGAGAAGAGAAGAGAAGAGACAAATTGTAGAATAGAATAGAATAATAGAATAGAATAAGAGAAGAGACAGATTGTAGAATAAAATGGAATAAAATAGAGAGAAGAGAAGAGACAGATTGTAGAATAGAATAAGAGAAGAGACAGATTGTAGAATAGAATAGAATAGAATAGAATAGAATAGAATAGAATAGAATAGAATAGAATTAAGAGAAGAGAAGAGAAGAGACAGACTGTAGTATAGAATAGAATAGAATAGAGAAGAGAAGAGAAGAGAAGAGAAGAGAAGAGAAGAGAAGAGAAGAGAAGAGGACTTTATTGGCCAGGTGTGATTGAACACACAAGGAATTTGTCTCCAGTGCATAAGCTCACAGTGTACATACAAACAGCAAAGTGACAGGTCATAGATCATAAATCATAGTTACAATAAGTAACCATAAGATACAAACAGTAAGTGATAAATCATAAGATACCAATAGGAAAAAATAGTGGAAAAGATGAGAAGTTGAGATGGATAATATGTTTGTGTTCTTTTCTTATCTTGTCTTGTCTTATTTTTGACAAATGGCTGTCCAGTCTCTTCTTAAAAGCCTCCACAGATGGATCACCCACAACTTCTGGAGACAAGCTGTTCCACTGGATAATTGTTCTCACTGTCAGGAAATTTCTCCTTAATTCTAGGTTTCTTCTCTCCTTGATTAGTTTCCACCAGTTGCTTCTTCTCCTGCCTTCAGGTGCTTTGGAGAATAGATCGACCCTCCCTTTGTTTGTAAGAGCCCCTGAGATATTGGAGCACTGCTATCATGTCCCCCCTCATCCTTCTTTTCATTAAACTAGACATCCCCAATTCCTGCAACTGTTCTTCATCTATTTCAACCTCCAATCCCCTAATCATCCTCGGTGCTCTTCTCTGCACTCTTTCTAGAGTCTGCACATCCTTTCTATAATAGGGGTGACCAAAACTGCATGCAGGATTCCAGGTGTAGTCTTTGCACCCAATTGGTTCTTGCTGAATAAGTCAGATTGTCTTGTGGCACTGAGTTCCGTAAGCTACGAGAGGGATGGGCAAAGAAATATTGGCCTTTTCTCTCTCTCTCAATTGACTGCCAATACATTCCACTCAGCGGCTGCAACATCAAAATAGACCCTCTTAAAGTTACAAGCACCGAGAACAACCGTTTTCCTGGTGTCTCGTTTTGAGATCCCTTTTCAATATCTTTTTCCACCTCATCTATCTGGCGATGGAGCTGGTGACATGATGGAAACACCCATCCCTTCATTATCCAAGGATAATTAAATCAACAAAAATACTCTTTAATGAAAAAGATGGTGGGCAGAACACACTGTTCCCCCCCCCCTAATTTTCCAAGGATGAATCAGATTTTGATTGCAAAGCTGAAAGCATTCATTTGAGGCACGGGAATTGGACCAGGATATTCTTACTGCTTTTTGGTCAATTAACCTGACCCCAGAATACGAGGAATAACAGAATCAGAAGGGACTTGAGGTCTTCTAGTCCAACCCCCTGCTCAGGCAGGAAACCCTATCCCATTTCTGACAAATGGCTGTCCAGTCTCTTCTTAAAAACTTCCAGTGTTGGAGCATTCACGGCTTCTGGAGGCAGGCTGTTCCACTGGTTAATTGTTCTCACTTTCAGGGAATTTCTGCTTAATTCTGCGTTGCTTCTCTCCTTGATTATCCCAAAGGTGCTTTTTCAATAGAAGAGAAGAGAAGAGAAGAGAAGAGAAGAGAAGAGAAGAGAAGAGAAGAGAAGAGAAGAGAAATGGAGTAGAGTAGAATAGAATAGAATAGAATAGAAGAGAAGAGAAGAGAAGAGAAGAGAAGAGAAATGGAGTAGAGTAGAATAGAAGAGAAGAGAAGAGAAGAGAATATGGAATATGGAATATGGAATATGGAATATGGAATAGAATAGAGAAGAGAAGAGAAGAGAAGAGAAATGGAACAGAACGGAACAGAACAGAACAGAATAGAAGGGACCTTGGAGGCCTTCTAGTCCAGCCCCCTGCTCAAGCAGGAGAACCTATACTATCTCAGACAGGTGACTGTCCAATCTCTTCTTAAAAACCTCCAGTGATGGAGCACCCACATAATCTCTGGTGGCAAGCTGTTCCACTGGACTTTCTTTGTTTTTCCTTGAAGACGTTTCGCTTCTCATCCAAGGAGCTTCTTCTGTTCTGAATGCCCGTTGCCTCTTGAAAAAGCACCTTTGGCACAACCATGAGTGTCTCCATAGACACTCTCCTTGGTTAGTTTCCACCCGTTGCTTCTTGTCCTGCCTTCAGGCGCTTTGGAGAATAGCTTGATTCCCTCTTCTTTGGGGCAGCCCCTGAGATACTGGATCACTGCTATTATGTCCCCCCCTTGTCCTTCTCTTCGTTAAACTAGACATACCCAATTCCAGCAGCCGTTCCTTATTTGTTTTAGCCTCCAGTCCCCTAATCATCTTTGTTGCTCTTCTCTGTACTCTTTCTAGAGTCTCAGCATCTTTTTTTATATCATGGTGATCAAACATGGATGCAGTATTTCAAGCATGGAAGACAGGAGATCCTTTATAAACCACGTTCTTCTGGGTCTGCTGTACAGCCAGGCACCAAATTTACTGTTCCAATAACTTCAGGGCCCTGAAAATCTCCCAAAAATAATTCAGGCTAAAATATTGTTTTTCAAATTTGGCAACTTTAAGATGTGGGTACTTCAACTCCCAGAATTCCCCAGCTAGCATAAGATGGGATAACTGGCTGGGAAATTCTGGGAGTTGAAGTCCACTCATCTTAAAGTTGTTCAGTTTTGTCTAGTGGATAAGGCACCAGGACAGAAAGCAGGAGACGGTGAGTTCTAGTCCCGCCTTAGGCATTAAAGTCTGCTGGGTGACTTTGGGCCAATCACCAGGAGATGGTGAGTTCTAGTCCTGCTTTAGGCATGAAAGCTGGCTGGGGGACTTTGGGCCAATTACCTGGAGACGGTGAGTTCTAGTTCTGAACCATGAAAGCCAGCTGGGGGACTTTGGACCAATCACCAGGAGATGGTGAGTTCTAGTTCAGAACTTAAGCATGAAAACCAGCTGGGGGACTTTGGGCCAATCACCAGGAAACAGTGAGTTCTAGTCCTGCTTTAGGCATGAAAGCTGGCTGGGGGACTTTGGGCCAATTACCTGGAGATGGTGAGTTCTAGTTCTGAACTTAACCATGAAAGCCAGCTGGGGGACTTTGGGCCAATCACCAGGAGACGGTGAGTTCTAATCCCGCTTTAGGCATGAAAGCTGGCTGGGGGACTTTGGGCCAATCACCAGGAGATGGTGAGTTCTAGTTCTGAACTTAACCATGAAAGCCAGCTGGGTGACTTTGGGCCAATCACCAGGAGATGGTGAGTTCTAGTCCTGCTTTAGGTATGAAAGCCTGCTGGGGGACTTTGGGCCAATCACCAGGAGACGGTGAGTTCTAATCCCGCTTTAGGCATGAAAGCTGGCTGGGGGACTTTGGGCCAATCACCAGGAGATGGTGAGTTCTAGTTCTGAAAGCCAGCTGGGGGACTTTGGCCAATCTCTCTCAGCCCTGTCCACTTCAAAGCGCTGTTTTTTTGTGGTGAAAACAGGAAGAGGGACATAAGTTGGATATCTTTCGCCACTTGGAGTTATATGTAAAAATAATCCAGGCAGGATAAAAAGAAAAATTAAGGGTTTTGTTTTTTTTAAAAAAATTTTTTTTAAAGTTGCCAAGATTAAGAAACACTGCTACAGAACAACAGCCAAGTTTACACAACTGGCAAAACCAGACACTGCCCCTAAGAGCTAGCGAGCAATACGCTAACCGGCAACAAGAAGCTAACCAAGATCAACCCTAACCAGGTTTATAGCACACTTTGAGAACACGACGGGTGGAGGGGAGGGAAATAGCAGGCAGCCGAGTGCCAATCCCACCCACCAAAAGCAGCAGAGTGTTGCAAAGACCACCTGGGTTCGAAAGATGCCAAAGCAAGGTGGGGAGTTCAGCCTTACCCCCCCCCCAGGATCCAGATGCAAATCCTGCACCCGGGTCTCTTCAAGCTGACAAGGCGAAGCCGCAGAGGTCCTCCTTGCTTCAGCCTCACCCTTCTTTTCCCGGGGGACCCCCATTCGAATCCTGCTCCAAGCTCTCTTCAGCTGTCAAAGAGAAGCCCTAAGAGTTCCTGCTTGTTTCAGCTTCTTCCTTCTTCATCCTCCCCCCCAGGACCCCAATTCAAATCCTGCTCCGAAGCCTCTTAGCTGGCAAGCCAAACCTACTTGCTTCAGCCTTCCCCGCCCGCTGCTTCTTTCCCCGGACCCCGATTCAAATTCTGCTCCGAAGCCTCGTAGCTGGCAAGCCAAACCTACTTGCTTCAGCCTTCCCCCCCCCCTCCCCGGCTTCTTTCCCGGGGACCCCATTCAAATCCTGCTCCGAAGCCTCTTAGCTGGCAAGCCAAACCTACTTGCTTCGGACTTCCCCGCCCCCCTGCTCCTTTCCCCGGACCCCGATTCAAATTCTGCTCCGAGGGGTAGCGGGCAACCCAAACCTACTTCCTTCAGCCTTTCCCCCCCTCCCCGGCTTCTTTCCCCAGGACCCCGATTCAAATCCTGCTCCAAGGTTTCTTAGCTGCCAAGCTGACCCCCACCCCACCCCGCGCCTCAGCCCCCTCCCCAGCCACAGCTGGGCCCCCTCCTCACCTTGCTTCTTCTTCCTGGCTAGGGCGAGCATGACCTTGGAGTTGGCGAGGAACACCAGCAGCAGAAGCACCCGCTGCATCTGGCCTGGCATCAGTCGGGGCAGGGGAAGCCTCAAA